AAATTGATTATGTTGTACACTTGAATCAATTAATTACCATTTCATTCTGTTGCAGATGAATGAATGCACCTCTTCAAGTTCTACAGAATTATTAAATGAAGGAATCTGCTTCAGAATTACTGACTGCACGTCGCTGCAACATCTGTGCTACAAAGTTTGATTGTTTGATAATTGTAATTCTAAACTAAATTTGAAAAATAACTTATTATATGGAGAAGTTTAACCGCAAATCTAAAAAAGAGTCACCATGTTACAGGAAATGCTAGTAACTATATTAATGTCAATATTGATATATAGATGTGTAACCTATACATTATTTATATTATAATTTAGTGTTTTATATTAGTTTGATGTTAATATTATGACAATTTTTAGTAATATGTCTTAGACTTTAATATAAAATATACACTAGCATAATAAGATTTTTTCGAAATTGGGAAATGCAGTGTATAGAAAATAAAAATATAATAAAATATAGGGAATTAAGTATCAAGTACAAAAGATAAAAAAAACATTTAGTGAAAAATATGAAACAAAATTAATTTATTAAATTTGGATGTTACAAATATCACAACTTAAAATAAAACCTAAACCTTTTTTGAACTAAGTAATAAAAAATAAACAGAGATTGTATACAATTTTCTTACAAGTAATTTAAATTTCAACACAGGTACTTTACCCCAAAATGATGCCTCCTAAGCTCATTATTTTTCCTCGTTAAGGAATCTATAGGTGACACATCTATGGAGAATAGTAATAACAAAAGAGTTAATATGCGGAATCTTTAGGTTCATGATAATTTTATGAATTTATTTGAGAAGTAAAACTTAAATATTGTATTCTATTTACATTACATTATATTTAACATGACTTTTACATTTGCAATGTTTTGATAGGAAAAATTGGATCAGGGGACTATTTGGAGCGTCGGCAGTGCAGTTGGCGCTTGACCGGACATATTTTACATACCCAGGTACGATCTCCGCTATATAGTAATGCGTTCTTCGAATTTCATGATAACATCCATCCGACATTCTTACTGTAAAAATCGCATACAACTGCATAGAAATTCAAAGATATGTGTGAAGTCAACCAACCCTCACTGGCTCTGCGTTGTTGAATAAAACCTAGTCGCATTCTTGAGGGTAGGTTCCGAGCTCCTCAGTGGAATATAGTGTGTCCGTATAGTGAGCTTGATGACGATTTGTTTTGCTTCAATGCATATTGTCTTGATAGCGATTTTCTAAATATTTTACCAACAGATAGGAGCTAATCTCTTTCCAGTGCTATTCTATTTCTCCCGACGAGAGTGGCACTACTACTCCAGTTCTATCAGAAAATATGAGCTATCAAATAAACGAACTGGAACAAATAAGCATTTATCAAAGTTGTGGTATTTTGTTGGTGAACTATTATGTTGCGTTCTTAAAATATATTTGTTTTAGTCAGAAGATTAAATTAAAGTTGCAATTAACGAAATTGTTTTATTTTTCCATAATTGTTTTCCCTCGAATGATGTACTAATATTAAAATTCGCGGACAAAAAATATGCAAGAGCACTCAACACACATAGTCTAAAATACCCGATCTTATTTTAAATGAGATTAGTTCGTTGAACCTTACAGGTATTTACTTGTAATGCCACTAAGTATTGAACGTTTTAACGTAGACGTAGAATATGCAAATTGTGGCCCCATTGCAGGTTTTTTATATTTTTAGGTCAAGCTTAAACCTTCCCTTGCACGTTGCTCGTATTAAAAACTGACAAAGTATTAACAAATAACGATCAAGAAACTGGCAACCGAAGCTTCTGACAAGCGACAACTGACATTACATTGATGGATGACAGTAACCAAAATGTTTGGTTAAGTTTTTGTTTATTTTATTATAATCTAAAAAACCGCTATTATTACAATTAAAGTTACAACATAGCAAACAAACTTAGAATCTTTTATAAGTATATATCATTCATGCATTCACAATGATATCGGAGTTCGCAAAAGAAAAAGTATTTTGGACCCGAAAAATGAACTTGAAATTGGTGTACTTTATTAAAAACAATCCAAACGTTTGGAACCCAAAACATCCAAAATATACGTCAGTCGAACACAAAGATCAAACCTACGCGGAATTTGCAACACTATATGGTAATAAATTTACTGGACAAGCTGTGAAAAACCGATGGACTAATATCAGATCAACCTTCGCAAACTATTTGAGAAAATTTAAAGCAAGCCGCGCAAACGGTGAGGTCCGTAATCAGTGATATCAGTTATTTTAGTTCATTAATCAAGGTAAATTTCAACAAAATAAATGTAAACTTCCACTCGCTAACACCACTGCCATAATTCTTGTATTAAAATCTTTGTTGGTTTATTTTAAGATAATGAAAAAAAAAATATCAATATGATTTATACATGTTCCAACAGTGGAAACCCTAAGTACTTTCTGTTCATTATATTTATATTATTGTATGTGGCATTTGAGTTGGCACATCAAGCATATTTTTTGCTCAACATACCTACTGAAGTGTTACTCAATGTATATTTAACTTTATCTAGGAATATAAGATAAATTGGCACCTATGGGGACCTTGCCAATTTTTAATGAAAGTTAACCGAACAATCAAAGATTCTTCTCTAAACTTAAACAAATCAGACGAAAAGGTAAGTCCAAATATTCTCTACATATCTCTTCAACTTCGCCAGTGTGGTATAAAAAAATAGTAGCCTAAGTGTCCTTCTCAACTTTGTTCTACAGCTATGCAAAATTGAATCAAGATCCGTTCAACCATTCTGGAGATACCTTCAAACAAATATCCATCCATCCATCAAAACAATGACATTTAGATTATTAGTAAGATTGTTTTTGATGTATGAGTATTAGAGATTATAACACCTTTGCACAGCTAGATTTAGATATTATAGCATAATTTATTTTTTTAGGATTCATCATTAATACATAATCAATACAATAGTGATGATAATACAACAGAAGATACTTTTGTAGATACAAATTGTAAAGCAATTGCTGAAAATCTTGTAAACATATTCAAAAAAATGCAAAATGATCCCTTTGGTCTTGATAAGAATAAACATGGTGAGGTTGGTCAAATAGTGTCGAAGAGATTATCAGAAATGGATTCATATGATGCGGGTAAAGCTGTAGTGAAAATTAGTGAAATTCTGTTATTGTATGATGAACAGAATTTATTAAATCCAAATAATTTTAAAAATGAATTGTGAATGTATTTGGATTAAAAATATACATTATGGACTATATCCACTGCATGAATCATCACTATTCAATAAATATTCAAATCTGAAACTTATTAAGATGTTATAATTAAAAAACACAAATTTAAATACAAAGAGTCTGAAAATATAATCTTCATTTAATAAAACCAGGGCATAGTCACAATTTTTCAAATGCGGTTAGTCTTCAAATTCTAGATATTAATTGCATTTAACTAAATATGAATACAAAGATGTTCTTCAGTATAGCTTCTTATCACCTTAATGTTCTAAAAAACATATTTTTTAGAATATTTAAATTAGTGGTAAAAACATTGATGGTTTTAAATATTTACTTATTTGTCCTTACATGTGTTAAAACATTTAACAAACTATGTTTGTAATTGGGAAAATAAAAAAAATAGTTGCCATATAATATTGAAATGACAGCTGACAGTTGGAAGACAGTGACAGAACCGAACTGAAATAAAAAAAAAGTTTGTAAATGCTGTGCTGAGTGGTGAGAAAATGAGAAAAAGCGAAGACGGAAACATTACGTAGTATTTAATTTATGAAAAAGTAAAGATATAAAAATGTCTATACCTGTAATAAAATTAGGGCGCAATATTAACACTGATTTTTTACACCTATACAAATCAACTTGGGACAAAATTCACGTCGTAAAAGATGTATTTCGTTATAAAGTGGAGAATTTACGAGAAAGGATTGTAAATGAAAAATATTTATTGCAGGTGAGTTTTATAATGCCTTAAATTTCACGATTTAAATTATTGATTGATATTGATGCACTGTGCCTAAAAAAAGATGAATATAACCATTTCAAAATTGCAGCTTAATCCAGACAGAAGTATGAACAGACGAATACCAGAGCAAATAGATAATATATGTCAACCCTTTGATGAGAATAAGTTTAATTTTACCAAAGCATCAAAAGAAGAAACTATGTTTATAATTGTCAGTGATGATAATGGTGAGGTATAAATAACGCTTTTTAACTCTACTACAATAATATATTTTGTAAAAAATACTCAAATAAGTTGTAATAAACAAATTAAATATCCATAGAACTGAAACAATTATTTATTAATTAAAACTTTTCACATAGACATTCTATTGAAAGAATTTAACTTCATTTTGGATTAATTTAGACTAAATAAAAGTTTCTCTTGATTTTAGTCCTCACAACTTTTTCTTTTCTTTTCCAGATGTAGACAAACATGTTGTATTAGTAAATGTTAGTCCAATATCACACTATCATTCTCTTTTGTGTCCGTCAATGTACAAATGCCTACCTCAAATTCTAACCAAAGATAGTTTACAGTTGGTACTACGAATTATGTTGTGTGTTCCAAATAGGTAAGTAATATAAGTAACTGTTTTTTATGGAGATATATAAATTATAGAGTAAATACATGTTCATTTAATATTAGCAGTTGCCCACCAGTTTTTTGCAAGGAAATATAAAAAAAGTTAATAAATAGCCTATGAGTTCTTCTAAATTATGTTCTAAATATTGTCAAGTTTCATAAAGATCCCTTCATCCAGAGATATCTTCAAACATTCACATTTATAATATTAGTAAGATATAGCCTATGTCAACTGAATATGGTGTAACTTCCCAAAGTCAAAGTATTATAGTTTAATAGTTTCGGAGCCTATTCGATTCAAACAAAGAAACAATGAAATCTATTCTCTTTATAATATTAACCTAAGATAGTTATAAATATGATGACAGTTATCAGAATATACTATATGTTTATTTAATATTTTATTTACAGCAATATAAGGATTGGATTTAATAGTCTATGTGGTTTAGCATCTGTGAATCACTTACATTATCATATTTTTGTAGAGAAAAACATTCTGCCAGTTGAAACAGTGGTAAGTAGATAAAATAATGCAATCAGAATGAGGTTTTCTATTAAAAAATAAATATAAATGTTGACAGATATCTTGATTGCTCTTAACTTTGCATGACTAGCTGCATAGAACACAATTTAAGGTGTAGCGAGGCATAGTGGAATTCAGGGAAATGTCCTTGGGCTACCAAAATATATAAAAATATTAATATCATGATTTGAAAATCCCTAAAGCTCAACTACCTAGTCATCTTTTAAATGTGCAGAACATGACTAGTATCTTACTTCTTACTAATAATATAAATGCGATTGTTTAGATGGATGGATGGATGTTTGTTCAAAGGTACCTCTGGAACAACTCAATGGATTTTGATGAAATTTGGCATATATGTAGAACATAGTCTTGAAAGAACATATAGGCTACTAATTAAGTTTTTTTTTAATTCTATGCGCACTGGAGTCGCGGGCAACGATTATTTAGAAATTAAATCTTGTTTTATTTTCAGAAATGTAAACATTTGAAAGGTCCAGTCTACATTCTTGATGATTATCCAGTACCGGGTTTCTGTTTTGAAGTGACACAACAAATAAATGACCCTTCTGATTACATATATAAACTAATTGATGTGTTATTGAAGAAGGCTATAGCACATAATATATTTATAACGAGAGGTCAAAGTGTGGTAGGAGATAGTGATGTGGTGAGGGTAATTGTCTGGCCGAGGAAGAGTAGTTCTGGAGCAAAACAGCTTGCAGCATTTAATGTTGCTGTTTGTGAATTAAGTGGATGGTTTCCGGTTTATGGTAAGTTTGATGACTTGTTAGTTTAGTTGCTTTCATATATCTTACGAAAATTTTGATGTATCAATTTGTTAGAAGGTTTTTTTTTTTAATTACTACACTACACTACTTTGGAACGGCTCAACAGATCTTTATTGAAATTTGGCAAAAATGTTAAACAATCTGGAAAGACACATAGGCCACTTATAAATTTTGTTTTTAATTTCGCGCGGACGACAGCTATGTAATCTATTTTTAAAATTATTTTAAACAACATTCATCAAAGTAGCTTTTTAATTTTAAGATATAAAAAAAGTACATATGATATTTAAATGAATAAAATCCTATGATTTTGTAAATTATTTTCAGATGCTGAATCTTTTGAGAAACTTACCACTGAGGAGTTAGAAGATGAATTAAGAAAATGGAAATATAACAGATTTCATGATCTTTGTGAAGATATCAAACAGTTATATTAATATTGTATGCAGATGAGATGCTAGTATATACAAGTAGGGGATTAGTTCCGGAACTCCATAAGTATTATTTTGTATATAGGCAGAATATGAATTCCAGTCATATTCCCAGGGAGGCTCTGGAGTGGATCCCGCTGGGAACAAGAAGACGTGGCCGTCAGTAGATGCCGACATGAAAGCAATAGGGCTGACATGGCCCGAGACCAAACGCAGGGCCCATAGGACTTTAAGTCATGTCAAGTCAGAATATGAATTTATTTCAGTCAGTCCAGCTGTCAAAGTGACACAAGATATATGGTTAATAAAATTTAGCTGAATCCCTAAGGAAAAGACGATGTTGCGAGAAGTAACTTATGTTAGTGAAAGATGAACCGAGGTTATTATCTTACTTTCTACATATATTATAAATGCAAATGTTTGGATGGATGGATGGTTGTTTGTTTGTTTGAAGATATCTCCGGAACGGCTCAACCGATAATTATGAAATTTGACATAGATGTAGAACATGATCTGGAGGAACACATAGGCTACTAATTAAGATTTTTTTTTAATTCTGCGCGGACGGAGTCGCGTGCGACAGCTATATTATAATACTACTAAGTAAAATAATTTTAATAAAAATTATGATCGTATTAGGAAAAATCTTTTTATTTTAAATCCCTTAATTTATATTTGTAAAACTTAAATAATAAAACATAATAGCTAGTAAAGTGGTAAAAAAAATCCAATTTGCAAAAACATTTAAATAGTATTGTAAAGATTGTTCCACATTATTTCCATTAAAATCATGCAAAACTAATAAACAATGTAAAGTTATTAAACGTACATTTAGGTTTTGTATACACAAAGCGTTGCAAATCGTAGAAACTAATATTGTATAGTTGCGTTGCGAGAATCGCATTGCGCGTGCTCGGTATACGCTGAATCGCCGACGCGAGTTTTCGGTCAGTACAGGTAGCTTCACAATCTTGAAAATTGCAACGATTTTTCTCACAACGATCTTGACAAACAGGTTGAGAGCGACTGTATTAGACAATGACAGGTATAAGTGTAGTCAACGCGTGCTGTGTACGAACCTTTACGACGTCGTTGCATAGGTCGCTTAGCGACTGCAATCGCCGGATTTTGATATTTTGCGTTGCTTGGTGTACAAAGGGCCCTATGTACCAAAGTCCGGACGACACGAACTGCGATAAGACTACTTTGGCAGGGTAGCCATAGGCGGTATATAAAAAATATAAGGATGCAGAAAGATAGTCGAGGTATACGTTATGAGGTACAGTGAAGGGATTCAACAGTATTCACTTTACTGCCTTTGATTCTGTTACTCGTATTTTTTAATATATGAGTTATCATAGAGAAAATATAAATATTAAAAAGTAAAGTCTTAAGGAAGTGTAAGTAGAGGTTTCGGAGTAATACAATGAAATAATAAAACGGCCAACACGTCATTGTTTATAAATAATACGCAAAACACGGACCAATCTGATAAAACTAAGCGTACCCTTGACCCAAGGCGCGGGGACGCGTTTGTGCTCCCTCATAATTCAGTTCAGTAGTCGGGGAGCGCTCGGCGCGGTCGCACACGACATGAAGCTAGTACCTATAGCTTTGTTTATATTGATCGTAATTATACAAACAAGCGAGTGCTCACAAAACTGGTTCCCGCAGAATCTAGTAACGACCATCAGAAAAGAGACATCACTCATCAAGGATTATGTCAAAGAAAAAGGTCGAAACATAAAACAATTCTACATCGATAACGTACGGAATAAAATCACATCATATTTAGGTTTGCAACGTCAGGAATCCGAAGATGAGGATAGTTCTTCGAGATTTAAAAGGAAGTTTAAAGACTATATAGAAGATGCACAAGCGAAAGATTACATGGTGTTCGACTCGATCGCTCCAGAAGTCCACAAGTATCCCTGTTCCAAAGACGATCCCACGATAGAAATGACCACACCGCAACTCATCGCGTTCTACGGCTACCAATCAGAGTCTCATACTATCGTTACGGAAGATGGCTACATACTGACCATGCACAGGATACCGCATACCAGAAATACAACCGACCTTCGTCCGTACAGAAAAACAGTACTTCTACACCATGGTCTGCTCGGTAGTTCAGCGGACTGGGTCGTGACTGGCCCGAATAAAGCGCTCGCTTTTATCCTCTCCGATGCAGGGTATGACGTGTGGCTAGCTAATGCCAGAGGTAACACTTACTCCAAAGCCCACGTATCCAAAAAAATCGACACTTATTCCTTTTGGAACTTTACATTCCACGAAATTAGTCAATACGATTTGCCGGCCATAATCGATTACATCATGCAGAATAAGGGATGGGATGTGAAGATAAATTACATCGGTCATTCTATGGGTACGACGGTGCTGTTCGCTTTACTATCGACGAAAACTCAATATAATAAAGTTTTAAGAGCAGGATACGCACTCGCTCCGGTGGCCTACATGTCCCATGTCCGTAGTCCGATACGATTGTTGGCGAAATTCAGTGATAACATAGCCTATTTGATGAAACTTCTCGGCGCTAATGAATTTTTGCCCCATAACGCAGTGTTGAGGTGGTTGTCAAAGCACGCGTGTGAAATAAATCATTACGAGGAGGCCATATGCGAAAACTCAATGTTCGTTCTATGCGGACACGACGATAAGCAGTTTAACAAAACTCTGCTACCTTTGATTTTGGGTCATGTCCCGGCGGGCGCGTCTACGAAGACGTTGGTGCATTACGCTCAAGAAATACGAAATGCTGGCCGATTCCAGCAGTTTGATTACGGTCCGGAAGTTAATTTCGTGACGTATGGAATGCCGACACCACCAGAATATAATCTATCTAGAATAACTCTACCGATAGCATTGCTAAGTGCAGACAACGATTGGCTAGCTGGTGCAGAAGACGTGAACAAGTTATATGTTCGTCTTAAAAATCCATTGGAACGTTACGTAGTGCCTTATAAAGACTTTAACCATATAGATTTCCTTTGGGCTATAGATGCGCCTAAATTACTTTACAATAAATTGCTACAATTACTCGACGATGGTATCGTTACATCGAATGTTGATTTAGTGAGTAGTAACGAAATTAACTAAAGAATAATTTTAAGTCTCCGTCAGTTAAATTATTTATCTTTTTTGGGCTCTAACTTAAAATAATATACTTGTAATGTAATTATTTTTAATAAGATATTGTACTGTGAAATACTCTTAATTGTGTTTTAATCATTTGTAGGTATAGTTATTGTTGACGCTTCAATAAAATATGAATAACTGTGATATAGCTTTTTTTTATTGTTTACAACATAAATTAAAAAAAAATGTTCGTCAAAGATTATTTAAAATACTCCTAATTTTTTCGTCAAAAACAACACCAAGCCACCGAACTTATATGATTAGATAATTTAATATAGTTTTGTAAATTATTTCTCTACGACTTATACGATCCGCGATAAATTGTAATGTTTATTTAAAATGCATACAGATTATATATTAAAACAAAGCAGCATATACTCATTTAAACGTACAATTAAATGAACCGGTTTGTCCCTGTATTAACCTGCGACGTACCAACTTTGTTCGTAAACTAGTGGTCGCCCACGATTTCAGCGCAGAATTTAAAAAAGTAGCCTATTATATTTTAAAATCGGTTTTTCGTTATCCGCAACGTAAAAACGTGTTTACGATTTTTTTTTCTCGATATACATACATACACTACAATTAATATTATATGTATAGAAAACAATCTTCCACTATAGGGTAACCTTGAAAGTCAATATTACTACAAGTAAAATAACTTTAAAAGGTTACAATTTCGAGGTTAGGTATATATTGATTTTATGAAAACAAAAAGCAAAGCACGTCAACGAAGTCTTGTGTGAATTAACCGTTTGAGATAAGTGATAAATTAAAATTAAACCTAGCCGAAATTTACAGAATATCAAAAAAAATTTTTTACTACGTTTAGACTAAAAGTGGAAATACCAGCAGCAACCCTAGATAAATAAATTTCTCATAAAAAATAGCTTGCGTTCAATTCACGACTATAATATTGTAACTCTTTCCGAAATAATATATCAATTTCTAAATCCAAAAATATTCTACTTACATTAATTATCGTCGATTTACGATATATTAGTCGACTTATGAGTCAATAAGTTAAAACAGACATATTATAAGCAAACTGCAATGACTCATTTGAACTTCATGCCCCCGATGTTATTGTCAATCATTAAATTGTTTGTATCATCATATTTATAATTTATAACAATGTTACATATTACATTTTATATACGGATAGTCTCGTTATTTTCAATAACCCAAATTATAAAAAGAAAATACTTTTTCATTGCTTACGTTAGTCAGATATGTAAATGCCAAGCCAATTTTATTAAATAATGTTGCACAGAATTAGCCTTCTATTTTTTTGTGCTATGACGATAAGTTTTTAATAACCAAACGTTTATAAGAAGGTAGACTTGTTAATATCCTATGACTGTCCAAAAAATATCCTGGCTGCTTATTGGTCACCTTATTCTTATATTAAATGTGTGATGATTCACAATTGTTCCGGCCACTGATGTTTACATACACATTGATATTGCCTATTTTTGCGACGATAGTGACAACTTATTTGACCCTTGAATTAAATAAACAAACAATGAGTAATCCCGGAAATGACAAATTCTTTTTATCGTATAATCTTATATAACATTTACTACCGAAATACCTACATAAAAAGTTTGACATCTGTCAAAAAAAAACATCTAACCATATGTAACACTGTATAAAGCTGAATACGGCCATGGTTTTGGACTATACGTCGTTTAATTCTCACGTACGCCATTATTATCTGTTCCTTACATTCCTTTGATAGTAAAATATTTCGTCTAAGCACGTAAGCACATTTTACACTCGTTTACTACTCTTACTTAAAATAGAAATATACCTTATCGGTCAGAAGCTTAATGACGTACCGAAATTAATGAAAACCATCATTAGCAAACATGATAATGATCCCAAAGACATAGCTGGCCAAATAAATTGCCCCTACAGTCATAAAAGGAAGGTATTTATATGTAAGCATTTTCTATTTCCTCCTTTTAGTTGTAATAATTATTTTTACTTAAATCAGCGTGTGTGTTGGTTGGCCCATTATCTAAGTGTGGATTCGAACCAAATACTGTACGTTTAGTATTCTATTTCAGTGTTTTATGACTTCCAGGTTGTAGACCGACAAAGTTCTCTTACCCTGTAAATATAAATCAAACTAAATTACGATAATTACTGGCGCCCTCCAGACAATGTCAAAAAAGTATTATAAGGTCTTTGCACTATAGCTGTCTTATCATGTTTTTTATGTCATTTCTGATAAAACTCGTGGTCGCTCTTTACTTTAAGAAAATATTTTAACCGATTATATTTGAGCTGTTTAATTGAGTACAAAAGTAACCGAACAATTAGGTCATTCTTACGAATTGAATGGTGCAATTTGATAAACAAATTTTGTTTATACGTTGACGTGAGATGGCGTAATGATGATGTATTTCCAATTAAAATAACGGTCGAAGATCTATCTTACCTTTTGTATCTATAACAACAACATGGATAAAAGTACCAAGTTCTTTTTACTTCCAATATTAAAATAGTCTGTGAGAGATGTGATGATCATGTTTATGTATTCTAATTTTAAACGTTTCCAAGTTTCAACTAAACGAGACACGCAATCAAACATCCGTTATATTTCTGTATATTTCAAATTTGTTACAAATTCACTTAGAAGGTAGGGCACCTAACTAAATAAGTTCTCTAAGAATCCCCTCAATAGTAATTGTATCTGTTAAGTGATATTAAATCACACATGTATGACGAATACTTAGTACAATACGTTTATTTAGTAACTTGAAACCTCTATATAGGTTGCAATTCACGGTATTCATTTTATGTATCATGTTACAGAAATTAGTTTTCTATACAAATATTCTTATTTATACCCAAAGCATTGTATTTGGCTATATCTATGTTAACATTATAATGAAGAAGTATTTTTTGTGTGACCATTAATGGAAAGAACGAACGATTAAAAATTATATTACTGAGTAACATAAGCTATATAGTAATATCTTATGTATTAAACTAGAATCTTCTTTTAATTCCGCGCCAAAGAAGTCGCGGGCAAAGACTAATATAAGTTGGATAATCGATTTTAAAGTATATTTCAAAGTTTGTGATGATTTAAAAAAAAGACACAAATTGTTTAAAGATTAATTCACTCTCATTTTATATTCTGTGCCATTTGACAATAATAATGACGTTGACGTTTGTCTTTGAATTTTGATTTTGTAAACACCGACATGTGCTAACCTGTATTTTTTAATAGAATATGGGTCTCAACTATTATGAGTTACGTAAATTAATTTAAACTAAACAAAAAGGGCAAATGAAGGAATAGGAATAAGGAATAAATAAATCTCGCTGTTTACCATGCATCATGTCGCACCAATTAGGACGAGTGGTTTCAGAGATTTTGCACCAATATTTTGGTGAAATTGTGCAAAAAGTTGGACATGATTTGTTTATTTATGGTACTAAGCCAATTCCTATGATTGTAAAGACTACCGGATTACCACGTAAACAGGTATCAAATTATAATTAATATATGTTACTGTAAAAGAACGAATTCCGTTCAAAGATGAGACTTACCTACCATTCATAGTGAAAGTCAAAAAATCTTATGTTGCACCAATGCAATTTAAACAAAAACCGTATGCCAAATATAAAAAATGAACATTTAACTTTAATACTTTTTGTAGGTAGTTGACAGTTTACGTACATTAGTAAAGTTTGATTTGGTATCATTTGAGCCATCCTTTAATGAAGTGGTTGCTGATTACAAGCTGAACCCTGACAATGTGCTGCTTCTCATCAGATATCCAAGGTTTGTATTTATCTTAGTATTTACTCTGAAGAGTACTATTTTTTCGAGTACCAATGGTACTGTGGGAGCAAGATTTCTTAGTCATATTTTTAACTCATCATCATCAGCTCACTATACGTTCCGACTGAGGGGCTTTGAGCCTACCCTAAGTTAGAGGTGACAAGGCCATATTCAACCATGCTAGCCAAGTGCGAGTTGGTTGATTTCACAGAGATTTGAATTTCTTTGCTGATATGGGCAGGTTGATCACAATGTTTTCTATCACCATAAGAACATTAGATAAATGTACATATATAAATTATATATCATTGTAGCATAAACCAATGGACCTGTTTTAAAAATTAATATACCATTTCATATTCTTGATTGACAGTAGTGTGCTTTAATTTTTTTTTTAGATATCTCCTGCAGATCAAGACAAAGTTTGGTTCGGAAGCTGAAATATTAGTAGAGGAACTCTTGCAGCAAGCATCATGTACAGCAAGTTTTTTGTTGGTCACTGTTGCTGCTAAATATAAAGATGACAAGGTAAAAAAAACACATCATAGTTTGTAAAAAAGTATTCAATATCAAATGTGTTTTATGTTTTTTACACTTACAAAACTTTAGACACCCGTGTATGCTTCCAATTTTTAAAAATTATGTATAAACAAGCTGTCTGTCTGCGCGGAGTTAAAAAAAACTTAATAGTAGCATATGTGTTCTTTCAGACTATGTTCTACATTTATGCCAAATTTCATCAAGATCCATTGAACTGTTCCGGAGATACCTTGAAACAAACATCCATCCATCTAAACATTCTCATTTATAATATTAGCATGATTTTCATTAGTAGTATGAGTTTATGATTGAAGCATATGATTCGGGACTATCCTTGTGGATGGATGACTACATATTTTTGACATCAAACGCATATACAACTTTCCGAAATTTTATAAATCTTACTAATATTGAAAATGCAGAAGTTTGTTAGAAGGTATCTCCAGAACGGCTGCTTGAATTTTGCTGAAATTTGACACAGATGAACATACATACAGTGCATAGTCTAGAAGAACATAGCTAGTGTATACATATTAAATTATAAATTGCTTTGTGATTTAATTCCAGAAAAAGAACATAACATTAGTAAAGCTACGAGACGTTTTTATCAGTATAGCAACAGCTAGATATATTCAACAAGCACCAGTAGCTGACAAAAGTGAGGTACCTTCACTGGAACCTGTGGCTACCATAGTCCCAGATATTGATATCAGACAGCTAGCCCAGGCTATAGCAACGGATACATTAGCTGATGTTAGTGATAGTAAGTCTAATTATTTTTTTCTTTAGGGTTCCGTAACTTGTAAGAAAAAAAAACAGAACGCTTATAGGATCACTTAGTTGTCCATCTATCTTTCCCTCTAGACCTATTTTCTCAGAAACGCGTGAACGTATGAAGATGGAATTTATTTTTATATCATAAGGTGGCAAGAAGCAAGCGGCCACCTAAAATTGCTGCTGTAGCGAAGCAACCTTTGCCCAAAGACTTATGCAATTGCATATGCATTGTCTACCTTTAATTGATGCAAGATAAATTCTATCTAAATTCTATCTTTTGCTGCGGTATTTATTTATGACTATTTGAATACATAACTCTTTTTAAATGTGCATTTTTTGAAATAATAAAGATTTTTTATTGCATTTTGAAATTATTACAGTATTAATATTGCAGGAGAAACAAATGGTGAAGTTTGGTTACTTGATAAATGTTTATAATTTTTTTTTAATTAATGATGTGAATCTCTCCGCAGATATTTACTGGAAAGTAAACTTCGATAGATTCCACCAGGACTTCAGAGATGATATTATGGTGAAAGCCATCACTCGCAGGATTGATGAGAATGGTAAGATTCGAAGTTATTCCACCCAAAATATTACGATTAACTTCTTGCTTATTACACAGAAATATTCTTTGGCTTTGACAAAGTAATTAAATAGAAAAGTTGTCATGGTTCCCACACAGATGTGTGGTAAATTAGAGGCACTTGATTTGCAATCTGCAGGTCCTGGGTTCGAATCCCGACATGTACCAATGTGTTTTTCGATTTCCGATTTACATATGTACATTTATCCGACGTTCTTACGGTGAAGAAAAACATCGTGATGCAACCTGCACATATCTGAGATCAAATTCAAATATATGTGTGAAGTCAACCAACCCGAACTGTGCCAGTGTGGTTGACTAATCTCTAAGCCTAATCACCCTTAACTTAGGGTAGGCTCCGAGCCCCTCGGTGGGTACATATAGTGAGCTGATGATGATGAATGATTAATATTATAAATGCGATTGTTTGGATGGATGGATATATAGTAGGTAACGCCAAAACTGCTTAATTGATCTGGATGAGAGGATGATCCAAAATCCTTGTCTTACGCTCCATTGACTACATATTTAAAAAATATATCATAATATACTAAAATTTTAAACTGGGCACAATAACTTTTTTAAGTTCCAAAATAACTAATGATAATTTAGATACCAAAGTTTATTGTTTATGTATTTTTAATAGCATTGCATTTAATTGAAGTTGCAGTTTGCAAGTAATAAAATGGATTTGTCTATCAGCGGGTGAATTGATGCATCTCCTGCTGCAAAATATGTACCTGACATCAGCGGAGTGGGCAGCAGAGTCAAACCCCACGCCAGTCCTGGACCTGCGAGATGCTGTGGACCGCGCTGACCGCACTGACTGCGACCGCAACCTGCTGCAACAGTACATGGACCACTATCTCAGAGTACTAGGTAAATTATCACAAACTAATCTTACTAAAATGCTAATGTTTAGATGGATGGATGTTTGAATGTATCTTTAAAATGGGTGAACGGATCTCGATGAAATTTGGCATTCATATAGAACATAGTCTAGAAGAACACATAGGCTACAAATAATGCTTTTTTAATTTTCCGCGGACGGAGACGCGGGCGACAGCTAGTAATGATATAATTTACCCGCTTTAGACGTCAACAACATGACTGAGCCTCGTCGGTGCAATATCCAAAACACACAGAAGACAGGCCTCAAGTAGAAGTAATTCTGCGTACCAGACACCTAATTTTGGTCCAATTACCTTTCCACCCTTTTCTTATTAGGAAAGGAAAGGGAAGTGGATTTAATGGAGGAAAAGATAATCGAAAAATACTTGCTTACTTAATTACTTTTGGAATTATGATTTTTTCAACTGCCCTGCTTATCTAACCTAGGTTATCAGCTGGCTATGCTATTGGCCTTCTCTGTCAATGTTTTTGTACAATTGTATTGTCAGTGTAAACCCACTATTAGCATGTGTAACTAGAGGAGAACGGCGCGGGTTTCCTGGTGCGCGTGGGCGAGGCAGGCGGCGGACAGTACGTGGTGCGCGGCAGAGACGCCGCCACACAGCTGCTGCTGGCCGCACTCGACCACACCGTCACTGAGAGGCTCGGCTCCAAAGCTGCCAGGATATTCAGGTCATCATCAACTACTTACACGAACTGAATATTTGTGACAACACTAATTATCGTTAATTATGTCATAATTAGTATGAGAATTTTGGTGTATTTTACGTCCGATAGAGGGCGCTGTACAAATTTTAACACTAAGTTGATGACATGATTGTACTAGTAACAAATTCTTTCTAGGCTTACTTATGTACCCTTTTATATATTTTTACATATAAATTAAATGATAAGTAAATAATAAATAACTGCAGTTGAAAATTGAAAAAAGCGCCATCTAGTGGACTAAATATTAAACTTTTAAGGCGTATTTAAATGTTAGACTTTAAAGTTACACATCTGGAAATTATGTCAAAATTAATAAAACAATTTTATTCTTGGGATTTAGAAAAAAATATATTATAACATTAACACATTCCATGCCGTTGTTTTCGTATGGATGTGAACTTGCCAGGCTAATAAGCCCGTAGTACTAAACGTGTTAGTATACTGTTTTTGTATTTCCTATTATTTAATTTTATCTCTAAATTACAGATTAATTCGCGCAAAGAAATACATAGAGGAAGATGACATACAGAAGCACGCGATGTTACCTAACAAGGAGTGCAAGGAGCTAACATACAAACTTCTAGAGGAACATTTTATTAGTATACAGGTCAGTTATCTTACTAATATTATCGATACGAAAGTTTAGATGGATGGATATTTCCGGAATAGCTCTTGATTAAATTTGACACAGATTTAGAACATAGCCTGGTATAACGCAAAGGCTAGTTATTATTTTTTTTTTAATTCAGCGTGGACGGAGTCGCGGGCGATATCTAGTACTATGTTGTGACAATGAAGATACAAAGTAATCTAAGAAAAAAAATTGTATATTATATATTAAGCTATGATTTATGCAAAATAAAAAAGTTATTAATACTTTTCAGCCGATGCGCAAGGCGGCGTCCTCCGGCGCGATGGCCAAAGCTGTTTACTTGTATCATATTAAATTACACGATGTAAGTACATATTTATTTAAATTTTGTATCAACAGTTCCCAAAACTTTGAATTGTATAGTCAAACAAGAATATATGAATCCATGAGAGGCGCTAGTGTCGCGGTTGGTTCGGTTGCAATATATAAAACTCGTTAGACATAGAATATAATATAAAAGAAAAAAATGACATGACTGCTACAGTACAAAGAGGACTTTACAAAGCTAGCGTACCATCTTTCGACATCATCACTTAGAATCAGGTGACAAAAATGTTATATTTTGACATTGACACAGGGGCGTTAGTGAGCTAATGTAATTAACTTTGACTTATGCCCACCGGTTCCTATAGCTTTGTCGGTCTAGTCATGTTTTAATGTAATTGTGTTGTCTGGTGTCAGGTGGCGCAGAGTCTGCGTGAGATGTGTTACCGCGCGCTGCACAACACGCTGCGGCGCGCTCAGCACACGCGCGCAGCTCACGCCCGCCTGCTGGACAAACAGCGGCGCGTGCGCACCATCGTGCACACCATGCGCGTGCGCGGGGAGCCGCAGCAACATATCGATGACGTCAGTACTACCCTCATCTCGCCTCCCCTACCCTACCTGCTTCTTACTCATTTACCACTAACATGACTGTTTACCAAATGCAATAATTAGTAATATTCATTATCGCTAGGCTAGTCTCATATAACAATAGTTATTATTTCTACGTTTATTATTGCTGTGTGCAGGTGGAGGAGACTCTGACGCCTCCGGAGCTGTCCACGTTGAAAGACGTGGAGGCGCGCCTCAAGCAGCTGAGCGCTGCGCAGCTCGCTCTAGACAAGAACCTATTTATACTCAATTGGTACTTCATGTACCCACATTGAAAACTATCCACAAATCTCTGTGATAACTGAAGATCATCTGTGCTGTGAGTCTCAGCGACTCTTACAATGTTCCGAGGAGATAAATTATTTGATATCCCTGATACCTTACTAATAATATAAATGCTAATATTTGGATCTTGCTGAAATTTGGCATAGATGTAGAACATAATCTGGAAGAACACAGGCTACTAAGTTTTTTTTCAAACGCGCGATCGAAGTCGCAGGTGATAGCTAGAAAGCTATGAAAGTGAAAGTGTTATAATTTTTATGAATAAGTTTCAAAAAAGTGTTTTGGAAAATCATTATAAAGTGAACAGTGAAGTGTCAAGTCCATAAAAGTGTTTAGAAAAAGTGATTTTTTAGGGAAGTGAAAATAAAAATACGTTATACATTCTTAAAATTTTATTTGACCCCATCGAAACATATTCGTTCAAACAATGTACAACCTATTAGTGTCACATACAAAACATTCCGATGTCATGCAGACGAAAGCGAAACTACCTCCAATACATAAATGACTTCGACGACTCGAAACTCGACGATCCATCTAACTGGTAAGTGATCAACATGTTTATAATTTAATATTAACAATTATATAGATTATGTATGGTACGTAGATAAAACACCTGTTATACAGACACCTAATATTATTTTATTACATCATAAATACCGTTGTATGTTGTCATTCAATCTATAATTTAAACTAATAATCATAGATATATAACCTATACATAGAGAGAATCCAGCGGGGTTAGACAAAGTTATTGTCAGTTCTATTAATTTTCGAAGTTCGTCATAGAATTGCTTTGGAGCGAATGCATTTTGTTTAGCCCCGCAGAACACATGCTGAAAAAATCTTCGGAGATCTTCTGTTAAATAATTTTGTTAGTGAATATCAACTCTAGATACGTAACTCTAGATTGGATGTCAAACTTTAATGACACACCCCATCTATATGTTATATAACTATGTTTAAAACTTAAAAATTCCTGAATATAAAATGTTTTTTGTATTTAAAATAAACTATATTTATGGAAGAATGTTCTATATCAAATAAGGCCCTGTTTATGCCAAATTTTACTTAAATTTTGAATTATAAATTCTGGAAATAGTTTAAAGAAATGTTTACTAAACTAACGTCATTAATAACGTTATTTAATCTGTATTAAAATATGTTAAACGTTATAAGTTTTTTATAATTGTAAAATACATAAATTTTCCAATATATTTTTTATTAACTCTCTTTGTTTAATTCTTTAATTAAATCATATTTATTAACAACTGCCAATTTATTCAGTACTTTATGTTTTAAAAAATGCTAACTTTTTCCATACATACAACGGTGTACATATCCACTTCAAGCTATGTAATATTTTAACGCTATATTTTGCCTAAATACTTCTTGATATTTACACTCCGAACTGCCCATGTCATACGAGTAGCCATTTTGTCATATTTATTAAAATATAAATGTATGTCGTTCATAAATTGCAGAAACAAAAATTTGACTTACAAGTGTATAAATTTGTAATTTGATAAACTACAACATATAATAAGTATATTATGTAATCAAATGTATAATGTAAATACTTAATAATACTCAAAATAAGTCTATTTTGGTAACTTTATATTAAAAAAAAGTATTAATACAAGAAACAATGTAAAATAAAAAAAAATTAACAATATCCGAAATGGCTGACATCATATGACATTTTTACACGCTATTACCACATTAACTGATTAAGTAATCTATCGCTATGGAAATATATTAAAATCCAATGAAGACATGGAACTATCCCGGCCTAGCATCACCACACACACACTCCAACTGTGTAAGGTTCATTCTGACTATATGTAAGACCTCGTATTGAATGGAATTGAACAAATTATTGATTAGATGATTTATTAATTTATAAGCAATATTAACATTTAAATTTCAACACATTTAAATAAATATGTTATTGTAATTTTTAATGTAATTTAATACCATTTGATAAATAAAGAAATCTAAAAGTTTATTCTTTTGGGTTAAAAAATTATAAATATTAACATGTTAATAAATATTTTTTTTACAATTTGTTATGACGAAACTAGTTTCCAAAAAAGATAAAAAAATTGTTAAAAATAATATTATTTGATATTCATCGCAATAAATGAAAATTTAAACTGCTTTCATTGTGTATTCCATTCGATCCGAGGCCACTTTTCCAAAGCCCTTACGATTATAAAAACATTATTCCAATTAGAGAATACTTGAAGCGACATCTATATTTACAGAAAGTGTCAAATGACAAGCGACAAAAAAGAAAACATGCAAAATAAATTTTAAAATTTTATTATTTATTTATAAACTAGATATTTTTACACAACTTAACAAAATACATACATACAGCAACTGAACGGAATATAATCAAAATTAAATTAAAAAAAAAACATTCATACAGCATTGGAACACATGAGTGAGGGTCAACAAAACTGGTTTCGATGTACCAAATATTATATTCTGATTTCATCATTGACCTCTCGAAACTGTAAATGGCAAGATTTTTTTAATAAAAAAAATAACAGATTCCCCTAACTCATGCAATAATTTCAGAGTTTTTTGTCCTAATACTGTTAAAATTAGACCTTGAGCTACAGGATGTTCTCAAAGTGAAGAGTTTTTAATCATTATATTTGTACTATATCACAAAATATTTCACTTTTATGCAGGGTTCTAAGTGATTTGCTATTATTGGGAATGCTTCCAAAAAGCACCGACACTAGTTTGTTATGTTTCCAATGTCAAAAATCTTGTAAAACAAATCAAACTTTTCAAATAAAATTAAAACAGATTGTTTCCCTACAGAGTTCTGTTGTCGATACTAGGGTGAGTACCCTGTTTAATAGAAATATGCCTCAACTAACACTGTAATTTCTTGGTTATAAAAAAAAGAAAACTAGTTCATAGAAAGTGAAAGACAAAATTTTTTAACTTGACAGACATTGTAATGAAAATATAAGTAAGATTTTATAAAATTTTGTGAAATATTGTTGTTCTTTTATTTCTTAAAAACCCATGTATCGGTACTTGGAATTATGATATTTAGGTTATGCTAAAATCTTTATAACATAAATCAAAACTTAAGCCGAATTATAAATACATAAATTGTTACAGCTAAATATTTTTTAAGAGTAGCGCTTATGCCTTGTGATGTTTAAAAACAATAAATATGGACAGTATCAAATAAAAATTAAAAGTAAATGCAAAAACTAGAAAAAATTAGTGATGTGCCATTGTAAGGCATATTTGTGTTATTAAACAAAATAACCATAGATTTTTTTACAAATTTTCAAAATTTACAGTATTTTAAAATGAGATTGTCAATAATTATTTTTTTTGTATTTTGTAGTCAAAATTATGCTAGTTTAGATGTTTTATAAAAGTTGTTTTATTTTAATTTTGTATTAATTTCTTAATAGTTATATTGAAAACAGCACATCACTAATTTAATACAGGATTGTGAATATTGGAGCAACTTGTGTTGACGAAAATTACATATTTAAAAAAATATATAAGTCAAGTGCATTATAATTGTCTAAAAGTATTTAATACTAAAATTTAACATTCCGAGCCTCGTAATAATCGCCTTACTTTCCTTTTTCATTTAAATTTTTTGTTTTATATATAAAAAAAAAATTATTGCACTATTTAAACTGAATTCTGTTACAACAAAAATTTTCACGCAAAACATTTTAAGTCTGACATATTCAACTTTGTTCTGAGCACAAAAGTCTTTAAAAAGTTCGACGTGAACACAAATCTACTTTCATTTCTACATAGCGTCGAAAAAAATACTTTACTATAAAATCGTATGCAAAAAAAATAAGGTATGTTATCCAGTTGCACCGATAATTTAATTAACATTTACAAGCGTAGAATAATTCATTATTTTGCTTTTAATAATAAAAAGAAATATAAAACATTATTGCAGTAACCTATCACAAAACTAAACAAGTAGCTCCCATCATAAACATCTATAGCGAACTCTCCAAATATATGTACAATGCAAAAAAGATTCATTTAATATACACACATCCTTTTCTTTTTATTTTCACTACTTATTTTGTCATTTAACTTTATTTTTTTTTCTATAAATATAATCCGCAGTAAAGTAAATTCATGTCCATCTAAATTATAATACTAATAAATTTGTAATTGTGAAATGGTATGCAACCGTCTTAGCATATACAGCCATGTTAGATTTTGTGAGCTTTATAACTAAAATACAAAAAAAACATCCTGTAATCAAACCAATATTATCACATGCAAAGTCAAAATTCCAGAAAGTAGCCTCTTAAACAAAAAAAAACTTTTTCAAACTTGATATGGTTATTTACCGTTGGGCCGATGGAATCGAATCCATATCGATATCGAATTATAATCAGTAGGTCAATAGGCAAAATGGGAAAACACCCTTTGATATCCATCCATTTAAGTATAAATACATATTATGAATATTAATTAGATGTTAATGTTTTTAAATCAACTTGACTGTTGCATTCTTCATTAAATTATTTATGAGATCATTAAAAGAGATAGTTAAAATTATATCCAGTCTAAATCCAATGAACTTCATTCTTAATCTAACATAGCTGTAAAAGTTAAGGTGATGCCCCTTTCATCCCGACCAAACCCATCCCATACATCCAAAAACGCATCAAATCCGTCTATTACATAATGGATTTTAATTTAACTTACATTTCGCTTAACAAAGCTATCCAGTATCCAATTCACAGAGGATGTATCCAGTCGATTTTTCGCTTGCGATATTTTTAAATATCATCGCTCATTGTGTGCTCCGACTTTAAAGATATTAATTTTGTGCGTCATATTCGAACGTAAGCTTAAAAATGAACGTGCCCGCGAAATGACAGATCTAGGACCTTAATTAACTAAATTTGAGGCGTTTTAAAAATATCGCAAGTGTTATGGGTTTTATTTAAAACTACGATATTAGTTTAGGGCGAAATGGAATCCCGACTCTACGTCACTGAACACACTGTGAGTCCGTGCCCCCTCCCCGCCGGTGACCCCGCGTACCCCGTGCCCCGCACGTGGGGGCATTACAATATGCAGCAAGATGCAGAACAACAACTGCTGGATCCCCCTTTGCTCTTTTGTCGTTGATCTGGAAATAGAGAAATATAATTTTTAAAAAGTTTAATTAAAAAAACAACTAAACAATTGAGAACACATACTAAAACTATTTACTACAAACCCAATCCAAACGTTTTCATGAATCAAAAGTGAGAAAATTATTTTTAAGTATGACGTCATTTTGATATTAAAATTATCATGAACATATATAGGTATAAAATATACTACGGCTGGCTCTTGCTATTCGTTTGGATTGGGTTGGGGGACATATGGATAGTTACAATAATAAAAATCATGCCATATAAAATATTTATATAATACGTACGTTGGAACTTTTGAACTTTAGATTTTACTTACAAGGAATTTAACGATTTATAGGATAGGATGTCGGGTTCGGGATGAATTAAAACCATCGGACTTCTGAAATAATATCAATTTGTAAATTTCTTTTCTTCTAATACTACGGTGCGAAGAGACAGCCGCAGTAGTAAATACTACGTACGATACACAAAAAAAGATTTTATTATTAAATATTAAACTATAAAAAAATTGAATTTTATTTGTATTCCATACATCTTTTATCGATTCCAAGAATGGTTTTTGTAACAGTTGAATTGCACTAAAGTTGATTGACAACCCTAAATCGCCCAGTATTTCAAAGCTATACAATAAGTGTATTACAATAGTCAATAAAGCTCAATAGTAACTGGTCATAATTACCATGTGAATTGGGTTCGGGCAGGTGCTCGCGCGGTACAAGGTGCATGACGGTGGTGCGGCCGAGCGGCAGCCCTAGCGCGCCAAGTGTCACCGAACTGTGCAGGAACCGGCCCTGGTAGATGAGCCGCAGGATCTCGGCTCGTGACACGCACTCAGTCGCCCAGTCGGCTGAAAATCAATTAATAACTGTGTTAATTTAAAAATAAAAAAAACATGTCGATCTGATAAAATATTAAAAAAGTATATATAATTTATTTTAATTACATAAAATTTTGTCGTATAAGCCTTTAAAAATGGTAAAAAAGACACAAGCAGCGTTGCCCCCAGAGAGATTTGAACTCTCGACCCCTGGTTTACAAGACCAGTGCTCTAACCCCTGAGCTATGGAGGCTTACATTAGAGTTGTTGTAAATCTTGATAGCAATTTTTCACAATTCGTTTTAGAAACTATCAACAGATGACGCTTTTATTCACATTTAAAAGAGATTAAACAGAAATAATTGTTGTTATAAGTTTTTACAGTTTATGTTCATGAACGTACCTGAGCTATTTTGTTTTTTGTAGGTAATAATTGTATGATAATATTAATAATAATTAAAACTTAAAATGAGTTAGCAGCAGGCGCTAATTTATCGTAAGATAATAAAACATTAGTTCTCTTTTATAAAGATAGATGGCGCTCTTACTAAATATTTACTTAGAACATGTTGAAATAAAGGTAAAGCAATACTTGGAAAAACAGACAAAATAAGATCCTTCTTTCCTAAGTATTTAAAAAAAATAATTTCAAACATAATGTTTTTATTTTTACTTTCAATAGGTATCGCGTTTTTTATGGAAGAACTCAACCTTGGCCACACTTTGGAAATGTACTCTCCCCCATATCTGACGGATAGATAAGGACATCGCGAGTGAAGTGGTTAAAAGCTAGTTGGTTTGAAGCATTAAACAATCCAAAATAGTAATAGATAAGTTGCTATATTAAACCTCATACTTTTTTATGTTCATTCTTTTCTTATGACATATAAACATTATATCCAGTGTCTGAATCCCCCGCGGGCTTTATGACGGAGGCATCATTACGCGACAATGGGCACCATTTACATAATGCTATGTGCCATCGCTAGATCTTAGGGGATTGGTCTGATTTTAATATCAACTATAGATACTTCGACACATAAAAAAATATCACCGAATACTATTACTTCGTTTTAATATAAGCATGTCATCTTACTAATATTATAAATGCGAGAGTTTGGATGGATGAATGGATATTAGAAGATATCTCCAGACCACCTGAATGGATCTCACATAGATGTTGATCATAGAAGAGCACATGGACTACTAATTAATTTTTATTTTTATTTCACGCGGACGGAGTCGCGGGGGAATTAGTTAAAAATAAAATATAGTCGACGTTAAAATCACACTTCATAATAGGTACAATTTCTTCGAAATTATCGGAGCCATTTAATAAAGTTAAAAGAATAAACTCCTTAGGCTTCACCAGTGGTTTGATACATATATTATAATAATTTTAAAAGCGAATGAAAGTTACCACGTTTCTGTTCTAACACTTCAAGAACAAAAGTAGGATACACTTAGTGGTAGACTCGCAGGAACAGCATCTACATTGAGCTGTCATAACAGATATTTATGGCCCATTACGACTCACCTAAATACACATATCCATTATTCAGAGCTCTATGTTACTTTACGTAGTTCCCACAGTCACAAAACGTGCTAAAATGTCGTATGAATTTAAACAAATCTACGACAATAATGATGTTAGCGACAAATATTAACACAAATGTCTTATAAAATTTCTCAAAAGAACATCAACAAAAAGAAAAGAAATAGTTGACTGATAAATCTTAGTCAAAAGAAAGATTTTGTGCATTGTTGTTCAAAACACCTATACTACGAATGATAACACAAAATGAATATAGCTAATTAACAGCTATTCTAATATAAGCTAAAAGACTGTTAGGGAGATACCACACGGGCGATACGGTAATGCCATGATACTGTTTTACTTTATTTCAAGCTCAAGACAGTTCATTACTTAATAGCATGTGACCGGACTTCCACTACGGAATATCCATACAAAATGTGTCATCCCTTTCATTCTTCCATAAAAAGAAAGAGATATCAACATGTAGGTGTACCTGTTATACATAAGATTAATTATTGACATTGTGCGTTATGTTGCGACTGCATTTATGTGGCACACTGACCCATGAATCGGTCATACGACACCGACTGTGTGGCATCACTATTTACATGTGATGTTACCAACGAACCGACTTCCGTATCTGCCTCTACGTATAAGGAAGCGGTTGTAATACATACTCTGGCATTGGCGATGTCTCTCATTAGACCGCATTAAAACGCGTTAAACGATCCGAGCGGTATGCCGTTGAAATATTAATTGAAATTGCATAACGCTCTATACTGCCAATACAGGAACGAAAATAGAAATACCCTCTTACAATAAATGAGGTCGTAGTTAACATAAATCAATTTGTAAATAAAATATAATACTACACGCGTATTTTTATTTCACACTTGCTTTTATCCGCGAGTCCGCCCGTGCGGAATTTAATTAGTAGCCTATGTGTTCTTCCAGGCTATGTTCTACATATGTACCAAGCTGCAGCAAGATCCGTGCAGCCGTTCTGAAGATTATCGCCGCCCTATCAAACATGAATCCATCCAAACATTCGCATTTATATTACTAGTAACTAAATTTTGAATAAACAATTATATAAAGAAATCTAGTTAATCAGTTAATTTTTTTATTAAGTTATATTTATATTATTGAATCAAATTATTTGTACTGTTCGTTAATATAATAAAAGTAAGTAATAATTTTTCACAAATAACAACTTTCCGACTCAGCAGCCATTTTGATCCCGTATTCATGTCATTTTCTCAACTCCAACGATACGTTTCCAAAGTTTGGTAAGAAATTACCGAATTAATGCTTCAAAGTCGAAGTCTAATAAAATTATAAGCACATTAAGTATGACAAAGTTCCACCCGCGTATATGTTAATAACCCAGTTTGTAAATCTTTGACAATTTCCTTACATAGATCTGAACATTATAACTGTTCCACCGAGATACTATTTAGAACATATTGTTATCTCTGTTTTGTCAAAGATAATGAAAGAGATAAAAATATATTTTACAAAGATTTTGGTCTCGGAAACCAATGACCAGTATTCTAGGCACATTTATAATAATAACTGACGGGTGATAATTATACAGCCGAGAGTCCTCTCAAAATAACAGAAATCCTTCACATTTCGTCGAACATCTGATACTATTTTCAACTTGTGATTTGCTATTACAATTTTAAGTTTAGTTTAAAATTTGATTCTTGTCTAAAACAAGAGAGAAATGAGCCAACGATCACCTGATCATTTAAATAGCGAAGTAACTGTTGCCCTTAAACAGATGGATAAGAGTATCTGATTGCAGGTTGCAGATACGTTCTCTCTCTACGTCTACCTTTATTGAAGAGGAGAGCATTTACTGAAAAGGCTTTTCAGTGATTTACTTCCCTTGCAAATTCCCCCTCCTCTTTTTATCCGTTTCTTAATTATAAAAGGATAAGTATGGGAAGAGGAATCCGACATAAACTCATCAGACAAAAAGCGTGATGAAATACTTTCAACAGACGCCTGTCTTCTATTGGAGCAGCTAAAGCATAGCATTCGGAGTCTATCGCTGTGACCACTATATAAAAATCGATATATTTCAGTATTTCATGACTTATGTGCCTCACCTTCAGGCCAATTGTCGTAGACGTGCACCGCGATGTCGCCGGCTGAGTCGACAGGACTAAACACGAACTCCTTCGTCTTCCCTGACACCAGGATCAGCCGCAAGTTGATCTGAAAAAAATAAACAATATCAATAAAGTAATGCACATTATGTGAATTGTTGAAATATTTTTTTTATAAAAATTACAAATACTTTTTTTCATAAAAACTGATATTTTTTTTATTTTCATGTAAAATTAGAAAAAAATTGTTAGCAAATACCACGACTACGAAGCGCCATCTATACGATTGGCTATTTTACATTTAACACTGGCCCGATAGATGGCGTTTCCGACATAATACCATAATAAAATAGTTAATTTTAAAATTTCCAAAAAATATAATACATTAAAATTCTTATTTATGTTCTTTTAACGGAATAAGGACTTTTCCATAAAAAATATCGTTGACAGTATTAAAAGAGATTTAAATTAAGTACATTTTAGGTTATAAGAAAAAAAAATTATACAAAGTTATTAAATATTAATGTATTTGAGTTGAAAAGAAATAGACAAAATAATTCAGACCTAGTTCACAAGGCCCTGTGGCGCAACGGATAACGCGTCTGACTACGGATCAGAAGATTCCAGGTTCGAATCCTGGCAGGGTCGCGATGATTATTTTTCGATTTTTTTTTTAAACAAAAATTTATAAACGTCTTTTTTATCGCTATCAGGTCCAGTAAATCATTCTTAGATTCCAATATGATTTGCGTAAAAGATTTGAACCGGGCTCCTTACATCTACCAAACTTTTATTAATGCAAATTATTAATATAATTTATATAAAAACATAAATAAAGTTCATCGGCCCTGCGCCCACAGACTGCCGATAGCGGCGCACCATAAAACTTATCATTTGGTGCCACTTTTTAACAAACAATCATCCGTAATTTTTGTTATTTCCGTCGCCCGTAGCTCTTCCATTCCAATTTGCATTTAGGTTATCGTCGGCTTTCTGGTGATTTATTTGCGTGGGTTTGACCTGATAGTTAATGTTCATACTGCCGAAAGTAGCGTTGCGCGAATAATTTTTGAGATTTACGTTAAGTCTTTGTAAACATTCTTTATTATTTTCAGTTGAATTTTGGAACGTTTAAACAACTAATATCTTTAAACTAAGTAGTAGGATTATAACAACAAAGATATATGTCTTTTAATAGAGAAATTTAAACAGTATGATTACAGTCATGTTTGCAAACCTAATAAAATATTAAAAACTTTATTTCAGTTTGTAGGACGGAGTACACATAGGCTACTTGTTAGTTGTTTTTTATCCCACCAGACGGAGTCGCGGGCGACAGCTAGTTTCTAATAATTATCATTTACTTTGGCAAGACCTAATGACGTTTAGTTATGACAACAGAGGATGGTGGTGCGTACACATAAAATTACTTGATGGTTACTTTCAAGATGTGACCATATGTTTCCACTGCCGAAACACAAACACAAAACAATAAGTCAACCATCTAGATTTAAACTAACAGAGATTAATATTCTCGTACACTTTATGTACGTACGTACATTGTAATATTGTAGTTGATGTTTGCCAGTGGCGGTTGGTAAGGAAGCGCGAGTGTTGCGCATTGCAGAAGTCAGCCCTGCAGGTCTTACACTGCGTTTAATTAATTACTGCATCATTGCTACTTGTACTGACGGACAATCAGTACTAATTTAAGTATTGCAAAATGTTGCAACTTTACTACACTACGATGTGACTTTTAAACATCTAAACACTTACAAAAAAAAACATGTTTGAAAAAACAGGATTTTGCGATAACAATCGAAAAGAAAATGTCATTTTTTTTGTTATACGAGAAGGAGGCATACGAGCAACGAATCGCCTCAGAGCTGGATAATGCCTCCCCCCTTCCTAGAATACGCGGGGCAGCCCGCGTGCTTACCCCTAAACTCCAAGCGAGAGTTCAGGCGTAAACGCCCAGAAGGTGATCTCCAAAATCGTTGGTTTTGGTAGCCCTCTAGGATAAAATACAGAAAATCTTATTGCCAATGGCCTAGCGCAAGCAAACATTTTTTTTAAATCGATATTGAAATACTAAAGCTCGATTTAAGGGATATATGTATTTCGTTTTTATCTATCTGCAAGTTCCATTGTACGCCTGAAATTCTAATTCTTCTAATTCCGGACGCCATAAAAAATCTAAGTCCGCATAACTGGAACACGCTCGGACATAACCCATACAAAAGAATTCAGAACATTTTTCACGTTATTTCGTAAAAGTTTGTAACTTTTCAAAATTTTGGAATACAGTTTTCCTAATATCACTTCTCATAGACGAAATACACATAGAGGAAAAATAACGCATCACAGTTTATGTGTCAAATTAGAATGACAAGACTACGTCATCAGAATATCAAATATCTGTGCCTAAAATGCGAGTTAACAATAACCTTTTTTTTTTACTCAGACTTCATGGGTAAGTTACTGTGATGTTATCAAGCAAAAAAATTAAATTCTATTCCATAAGCCATAAAAATGTTCGGGAAGCTTCATATTTTTGTATGAGTATAAAATATGCACGTAAAATAATAACTATATTTAATTTATTGAGTTTTATGATCCGCCACTAAAATCTAATTCCTTTTAGTCGTCTTGTTACTGGCAAGTCTCCAATAATATAGATTTACGACACAAAGATCAAGGTGAAATTGTACTAAAGATATATTCTAGGTCACAGCCTTGGACCAGATTTCGACGTTTAATAAAATAAAAAGGCTCCCCTAAACGTTTTAACCTTAAATAGAGTTCTGGAGTTAAGCCTGTTACACACCTGCAATTATAACTGGTAATTTGAGGTCAGTTAAACTGTACAGTTCTCAGTTTTGCCTACAGTCGAACTGTATAGTTAAAACTGAAAGTGTGTAGCGGGGTTTAGTGGACAATAGAATTTTAATCAGTGTAAATTTAACATAAAACGTACTTGAGTGGGCCAAGTAAGTATAAACTTAAATAAAATATGTAATAGAATTTAACATTGTGAGAGCGTTCGCTTGTAACATATTATTTTACACGTAACATGTTACATATTATCATCCACCTCAATTTTAAAAAACTTGAACCAGAATATTTTGCCATAATTAAAATTATATTGAAAGACATGACTGCTAGTATCCGTTTAAATTTTAGTTTTATAGTCTGATTTAACTATCTTTAGCTACCTATACACCCACAATCCGATATAAAGTAACATATTAACGTATAAGGAAATCGTATCCAAGTAGTTGAAACATTTAAATTTAAACTGACGGAAATACAAGTATCCTTATATGTTAGCTTAGTCATTTACACAGGCTGTTGTTTTCCCTCTTAGGATCAAACTATCAAATAAATTAATTATATGTTACCTATTTGTGTTGTATGAATTTAGATGTATAATTATAAGGTTAATGACATTATAACATGAATGACATATACAAAAAGTGCATAATAATTATTTACTTTATAACATTCTACATACAACAAGAAACATTTGATATTTGCAAGTAACTCTATTACTCGTCCAGCAATACGAAGAGTCATTCACCTTAAAAACGGCTGTGAAGTTGACAATCTATTTTTCTACTCTTTCAACAAGTTGTATCTATAAAGCACAGCCCACTTACAAGTAATCAATTTAAGAAACCACAAACCCATTATATTTCAGGGAAGAATTTGAATCGAAGGACATCCTACACTTTACGCTAGATCACGGGGTTTAAACTGACAGTTACAATGGGACAAATATATGTACAAACTTACATACTCTGAAATAAAGTTACTATCATGTCAATCGAGCTAAAATACGGTAAGAAGTGTTAATATAAAGGAAAGCATTTCCAAGATGTCATCTCAGTAATGTTAAAGAAAAGTGCCGTTCCAAGGAAGTCGTTTGCTATCGATGTCGATAAATAGCGGAGTGCTGATGCCCGTTGACCTAGTTTCCATAATGATGGCCCTCAGGGCGCTCATCAAGTGCTAGAGCTATTTGACAAAAAAAATAGGTTTACTACGAAACTACTTCTCGTCGTTTCGCTTCCCTTGATGTCCCTTAAAAGTATTCCATTTATTTGATGAAGTTTTCAACTCACTGCCGTTCTATTTACACGTTTGTTATTGTCTTAGTTCAACCCAAGAATTGATGACACAGGATAGAAATAGCTAAACTTGAGATCAAAACAATTTTTTTTAGAATGTACTCATTAGTAATTAGCATATTCCATGCTAAACTTTAAAGTAAAGTACTACATCACGATGACAGTTGGCAAAGACAGTTCTAAGAGTAAGTGAGACGGTCCAGCTAAATCTGGCGTACGGCCAGAGTTTGTAAACTTACTCCAGTTTGAAGAAAGCTTTCATTTCTAATGCTCATTGAAACAGAAAATTTCAAACGACTGAATGTCGAATGTCAAAGCATATTCTTCTTTTGAAACTAATTCGAATAGGAGTGAAGTCTCTGAGAGAGATCTTATTTAGATATATAAAGAGCATTTATAAGCGTCTCTTTTTACCTAGTTTATAAATGTATGATGGGAATGTTCATAAAATAGGCAGTTATAGGAAGGCGTTACAGACGATATTATCGGCATCAATAAATCGAGGCGTGCCGAGGCTCATTGACCCGGTTCCCGCAATGATAGCCCGGGGTGTATTTCATCCGAGCCTTGAGCTATATAAGCTACCGAAAACTAATGGCAAATGACCCGCGAAAAACGAATGAACACAAACGTCGATAGTTATTTATGTCTTGAATGTACTTCACTAGTAGTTTGTTATGTGTCTACTATATTACATTTATAATGTAACATTTTATCATCGTTAAAATGTTTTCCAGGGATGAAGCTTTATAGAATTTGGTTAAAATTTTACAAATAAAGAATATTGCTAACATTTTACACGAACAGCTTATTTTGCAAAAGGTACCCTTGCGGTTTCGATTGAGGGATAAAAATAGAAATTCGATAATGTAGTCAATTTCCATTTACGTCAGCATCAATGTCTTCGTAATGTCGGTGACGTCAAGTCAATTTCTAAATTAAATTGACAAACTGCAATGATTCTTTAATTTTGATGAAT